TTTATGACATGCATTTTCCTACGAATGAACATGTCATGAATTGCACTCATATCCATATCAAACATTATTATCTAGTCACAATTCACCATGATTCACCAAGATTAGCCATGATTAACCACACGATCCATTATCAAGCCACAAGATTAATGTTTAAACTCTAAGACCAACTTGATCAGCCATGATCAATCAACTTTAGCCACATGATTGTCATCACAACCATACGATCAAACATTAATCACATAATCAGCAATGATTAAACTAATTAGCCACATGATTGTCATCACAACCATACGATCAAACATTAATCACATAATCAGCAATGATTAAACTAATTAGCCACATGATTGTCATCACAACCATATGATCAAACATTAATCACATAATTAGCCATGATTAAACTAATTAGTCACATGATCATCAATCACAACCACATGATCAACATTGGTCACATATTCAGCCACATGATTAGCATTTGAACCACATGATCAAACAATTGGGACATGATCAACCATTGATTGAACTAATCGGCCACAGGATTAATGATCACACAAAATCAGCCATGATCAACCATTTCTAGCCATATGATTAACATCAAACAATCAAGATCAATTACAACCACATGATTAATCATCCAAGCCTCACGATCAGCCCCCTAAACCGCATGATTAGCTATGAATCTCACATCACAAATCAGCCATTAATCCACTCTTGATCAGCCCACAAATCAGTCCATAACTAGCCACTAATCGGCCCCTAAACTAATCTATTAGTCACCTATCAACCTAATCAAGGTTTAGGAAGTTACTTACCACTAATCCTAAGCCAAAGACCCAACTAAACCAGCAGCAACAGCCGGTGGTAGGTGCAGCAACTCCGGCGAACGGCGAGCGGCGAAATGGCGAAACAGCGAACGGTGGCTGACACGGCGTGAAAGGCGGCTAGGGGCAGTGCTTTACGGTGAGATGAGGGCTAGATGGTGGCGTGATAGTGGCTGGTCGGTGAGGGTGGCGGTGAGGTGGTTGCCGGCCGAACAAGAGAGAGAGAAAAGTGCTGGCGGATGACGGTGGTGGTGGTGACTCACGGCGGCTCAGGTGGTGGTGATCGGTCGGTGATGGTGGTGGACGGTGGTGGCTGGTTGGTGTGGTGGGGGCATGAGTGAAAGTGAGAGTGAAAGTGAGTTGAACACAAAATGGAAGAGAGAGAGAATGGTGCTGAAGTATCTCATCAAAAAGAAGGGTTGAGATCCCTCCTTGATCCCCAAGTTAAGATCTAATGGCTAGGGTTGATTCTTGAAAAGATTTCTAGAAAGGGCAATTAAGAAAATTAACAAAAGCAAAGATGGGCAGATCTGTCCAAGGAATTTCGGCCACACAAGGTGGGTACAAAGACCAATATGCCCTTCCATTCAACCAAGAAGTCCTAAAACACTAAGGGGTAGAAGGGTCTTTTCCAATTTCCGGGCCGAATTTCACTTTTCCAAGAATTTTCGAGCAAACCAATAACTAAACGAGCTTAATAAGGCAACGTTCAATATAATAGTTTTGATATCCTTGCAAGTTCGATACCCAAGTTCGGATTCCAATTCATGGCCAAAATCGATCAATTGCGACTTTAGTATATCTCAAACTAATTGGCGGCTTTCAGGAGTGATGCGTATTCAACCCGTGGTTGATTCGATATCAAGCCACGTTTTAGTTTACTTAATCCATGGTGACCTCGGTTGTCATGTAATTACGAGGATAAATCACTAGGTCCGAAGGACACGATCGTTAGAAATTGATTTAGGAACGTTCGTAATCCATATAATGGCCAAACAGAATCACCCGTGATCTAATTGTATAACATTGGCAAATCATTCCATAACCATCCTTGGATCGGTCTATAATGGCCCAAAATATCCCCTCATCAATCCTTATGATCGAAGTGTCAATCCAGGTCGAGTTCTTAGGTCGTACGTATTTAATTTCTAACTAGCCATTCCTTAATGGTTAGTCTTTTTATGAGTAATCAATTCAGAGTGTGATTTAACTAAAAGTGCATTGATGAGATAATCATTTCATAAATCCCGAAAATGGGTCGAAATTCAGAATGTCACACCCAATTTACTGGCAATGGCCGAGGTTGTGCAAATCACTGAAGTACTGAGAATCAAGAACGTGGTTTATGGGGTTCACTCAGCATACCGGAAAGAATTCCCTCCACTGAAATGAATGGAGAAGATGAAGATGTTTGAACAGAAAAGATAAAACAGATGAAGAGGTTCAAAGAGTTGAGCTCTATCATGCCATGACAAATTCCTTATTTATTCATTTAGAGGCCTATGTGATCAAGATGAATATGAAGGAGACGACTTCAAGATGACAATCGTATCCACAAAGTGTGATTAAGCCAATTTTGGTAAGCCTGTACTATTCAAGAATTATTAGTTCATCAAATATTCAATGTCGTGAGCCTGAATGTTGCCACCAAACCTTCCTGGAGAAGTAGGGACTAATAGCCGCATAATTGGTCATGCAACCCCAAGCAAAAGTATCAGCAAAAGATTGAAATAATCATCAAAGCTCTCGAGGTGCTGGATCACCACCAAGGCCAACCATAGGCAAGTAGGGGAAGATCTAATAGAACGCCAAAAGTGGCAAAAGGAAAAAAAAATATTGACAAAATTTCATCAACGGAGCATCAAAGAATTAAGGAAAAATTCCAAAAAGGAGCCCGAAGTTGAGTCATTTTCTCAAATAATGGCCTAAAGTGAACTTAAGGGCATGAAGTGCCCTCATTTTCTCAAATAAAGGCCTGAAGTGAATCTTGTCTCAAATAAGGACCTGAAGTGGCCATATCAGTCTCAAATAAAGACCTAACCTCACCGACCAAAGGGTATTTTTGTCTTTTACGTCTCTGAATTTTTTTTCTTTTTTTTTTTTTACTTTTTTCTGTTTTTTTTCTTTTCCTTTTCTTTATTTTTTTCCTCTCCTCCTTCTGCCGGCCATCACCGGGGCCGGCGGAGGTTGCCGGCCTTAGGCGGAGGCCGCCTTCACCTTTTAGGTGAGGGCGGGCCGAGGCTAGCAAGGGTCGCCCTTGCCGGCGTCGGGCAAGGCCAGCCCAAGCGAGGCAACCCTTGCCGGCATCAGGCGAGGGCGAGGCCAGCCTAAGTGAGGCAACCCTCGCCCAAAGTTGGCGAGGGCAACCCTCACCCTCACCTGGGCTGGTGAGGCCAGGCCAAGGTGAGAGTTGCCCTCACTTAAGGCCAACGGAGGTCGTCGGCCAGGCACAGTGAAGGCTAGGAGGGAAGAAGAAAAAAGGAAAAAGTAAAAAGTAAAAGAAAGTAAAAACAAACAAAAAAATATACTTATAATGTTTTTGACTAAAATACCCCTTTTCCGGCAACAGAATAGTCACTGACCGGCCAAAGGTCCTTTTTTTAGACGATTTGGTCACTTCATGCCATTATTTGAGACGATTTGGCCACTTCAGGCTCTTATTTGAGACCATATTCACTTCATGCCCTTATTTGAGAAAATGCCTCCACTTCGAGCCCCTTTTCTGGAATTTTCCTAAGAATTTGATGGAGCACTGTTTAAAACATGGACGAACTAGCATGGGCAAAGTTCAAATCAGCAAAATGTCAGCAAAACTAGACATAGTGACGATTGGTTGAACTTTATAAGGGTAATCATTGAAGCAATTATAGCGGGTAATCGTTCCAAAATTTTAGTTATCCAATCACATGTATGCCAAAATAATCACCGATACAAATGGTCCATGAATTTTGACCCAATGTGCAATGTCATCCATGAGCTTTTAATTTGTTCAATATTATCCATGAACTTTCAATTTGTTCAATATGGTTACTGAACTTTTGGTACATGTTCAACTTGTCCTGGAATTATATGAAAATGCTAAATGTTGCCATTCCATTAATTCAAGTTCAGAGACAACATTGAACTTTTTCATATAGTTTAGAGAATATATTAAACATGTATCGAGCTATAGTTAAGGGATCACACTGAATAAATTAAAAGTTCAGGGATCATATTGCACATTGAATCAAATTTCAGGAATCATTTGTCATTTTTCAAAAATATATGCTAACTGTTTATGCAGGTGTTGACAGGGGCGACACGCAGCTCACTTACTAAGAAAGGAGGAATCAATCGAACCAAGGCACATGGTTGCCTTGGGTACACAGGTAAACTGATAGAGCGTTGCGACAAAAGGGAGCAATCTTTCCTTAAAGTGATTAACTCTACCTTAGATATGAACTATTCTTAATCCTCAGTTACCCTTTATCAAGGGCAAAGGGCGAATCGACACAGCGTCAACGAAGCTAGACATTGTAATAGTTGGTTGCTCGACCTTAAACCAAAAATTATTTGGAGGACATGTGAAGAGCAATAGGGAGATGCGCTCCCGTTTTGGATTAACTTGAATTTGACTAATCATGGCTGATGTTAATGTAAGGGTTTTGCACGTCCCACACACCTTAAGTTAGCAAACACAATGATAGCTATTGTGAAAGCAAGCGATCGAATAATAAAATAGATAGAATAAGAAAATAAATCGGAAACTAGATTTACGTGGTTCGACTGTAGTGACCTACGTCCATAGGGAGAGCAGCAACGAATTTCACTATAGATCAAACGATACAACGGAGATTACAATCACACTCAAGTTATTCAAACTCTCTTAGTGTTTTCCAAGCCCCAATTACACCTAATAACTCACGTAGTGTTTAGCCCCACAATTTCTCACGAAATAATCTCTCAATTTCACGAAGGAATTATACACAAATTCTTACCACAAGAATTTAATCAACTACAAAACACTTGGATATCTTCATGGTGTAAATCACTAGCAGAAGCTCCTTTTTGATAATCTTCACAAATAACATCCATTTCTTATTTATAAGCAAGAATTGAATCCAAATTATGAAACCTCTTTTTAGAAAACCTTCTTCAATTAGGAAACCTTTTCCAACTAAGAAACCATTCAATTAGGAAAACTTATTCAAAATAGGAAACTTACTTGAATTAGAAAACTTTCTTTTTCGGGCTCAAAATCGAGACATAATTTTAACAATCTCCACCTTGGCTCGACGTTTGAGCCAAATCATAATCGCTTCGCCAGAACTTCTCTACTACTCTCCCACAACCCAAATGGGCTCAACTGCCACATACGTCTTTCAAATCAAAGCCTCGCTTGAACTTTGCCATAACCGTGGACCTCATCGAAACACCTACTCCACTTGCACCTTTAACTACTCCACAAGGATTTTCCGATACAACCTACTTACCTGTAGATAAATCAAAACCATTGTGGCATCCATATCTGTCAAGAGATTGAATACACACATTGTCAATATTAGCAGTTATAGCAACTGTTGGCTCAATAGGCTCACCTCGCTACAAGCACCATCTGTGTCGATTATCACGCTAGTACTCGATACCTCAAGAGTTTTTGGTTGCAACTCCACCTCAAGCTGAACACTGTCCAAATCCATATAAACATTGCTAAAATCACTCCTAGCCAGAAGTATTAAAGACTCGTCAAATGTAACTTCTCCACTGACAACATGTGAATTTAATTTCGGGCACCACAACTTATAACACTGCTCACCTTGTGCATAATCTAGGAACATGCACTTTCTTGCCCTTCCATCGAGCTTACCATCACTTGCTCAAACATAACATGGGCAACCAAATATTCTAAGAACAGAATAAACAGCAACGTTACCTGACCACACTTCTTTGAGAGTCCGACATCTAATCGCAGTCGATGGGGATCTATTTATCAGAGAGCTCGATGTACTAAGCGCATCCGTAAGGAATCTCCTAATTATACCAGCACTAGAGAGCATTTTATAGGCCGTCTCTAGTAATGTTTTTCTTATTAACTCTGCAACCTATTGTGGTTAATTGGCACTAGTACGGTGTCACATTATGTCTTCCTTCATGCAGAATTCATGTAACAGCTTCAAGCAAAACTTCATACTACTATCAGTCCATACATGCTTAATCATTTTATCAGTCTCATTTTCGATCAAAGCTTTTACCTGCCTGATTTGACAACATCATCGAACTTGTGCCTAAGCACAAACACCCACGTCTTCCTCGAGAAGTCATCTATAACTATTAGCATAAATCTGGCACTCTACCCCAAAGGAAACCGCAACAACCTGTGAACATCTAAGTGAATTAATTCTGCTATTCCGTGATTTTTTTGACAGCCATACTGAACTGCACTTTTTGCCGTTGATCTAAATCACAGCACCTGCATACATTCAGTTCGTTAGCAACATAACCACATAAAAAATTCCTTTCACTTAGAACTTTCAGGCTTATCCCGCTAATGTTCCCCAAACGCATGTACCACAGTTCAGACTCTTGAATAGATGCATCCGATGTTTCCGTGGCGAATTCTGTCATTATCTCACCTTGAAGTTCATACAGGCCATTATGCTTGATTCCTTTCATTATCACCAAGACACCTAGGATAACCTTCACAACTCTGCTATCTGAAGTATATCGATACCCAGCTAAATTCAGGGCACTCAAGGAAATCATATTTTTCTTCAACCCTAAAACATGCCTCACTTCAGTCAATGTTCACACAATATTATCATGCATTTTGATTCTAACATCACCAACACCTATAACATCTCATTCATAATTGTTCCCCAACTGCACTTTACTACAATCCATGCACGGATAAGTAGTAAACAAGTTCCCATTTGGTGTAGCATGAAAAAAACAACCAGAATCCATAATCCATCCGCCAAACGACGAATCATCAGTGACAGACAAGATATAATCAGCACTATCTGAATTACTGTCTGCTATAACTGCAACATCATCCGTAGAATCAACTCTAATTCCCTTACCCTTATCGTTTTTCATCTTAAAGCAATCCTTTCGAAGATGCCTCATCTTGCCACAATTCCAATAGACAAAATGTTTGCATGGATATTGGCTAGGGTCAACCTAAAACTAAAAGGCTGGAAGGAAAAGCTCATCTCTAGAGTGGGGAACGAAACCTTGATAAAAGCTGTAGTACAAGCAATACCCTAGTACGCGATGTCAATTTTTAAGATTCCCATGTCAGTATGTAGAGCAATCGAACAAAAGATAGCCTCTTTTTGGTGGAAACAGAAGGAATCGAAGGCTAGTGTTCATTGGAAGAGATGGGAGGTACTTAAGCTAAGGAAGATAGAGGGGGTTCTCGGATTTTGAGATCTCATTACTTTCAACAAAGCTATGCTAGGAAAGCAGGCGTGGAGATTAATTCAGTCCCCTTTAGCCTTGTGGAGCCAAATAGTCAAAGGACTATATTTCCCCAGAGTAAGCTTTTCGAATGCCACTAAAGGCTCCCGCCCCTCGTGGGGATGGCAAAGCCTGTTAATGGGGAGAGATAGCATGCAGCCTTTAACTAGATGGGCCGTGGGAAACGGGAAATCAATCGTTATTCGAGAAGACATATGGCTACCTCAGGGAATCATTGGAGGGCTGGCAAACTCAGGGGATCCCCAAAGAGTTGAAGAGCTCTTAGCTAAGGATGAACAGTGATGGGATGCACAAAAAATCAATTCTCTGTTTAGTGAGCAGACAGCGAAGGAAATCTTGGCAATACCACTGACAACTACCCCAAAAGAAGATGAAATGGTATGGACAGGGAATAAAATAGGCAAGTACACAGTGAAAGAAGCCTACAACAGCATGTATAGGCTAGAACGGTTTCAGAACCCCAACCAGGCCTCCTCCTCATATCAGATTCCAAAATCCTTGTGGCAGAACATTTAGAAATTTAACACTATGCCAAAAATTAAATTTTTCATCTGGAGTGTATGCCAGAATAGCTTACAAACCTGCGACAACCTTTGCAAAAGATCAATCACGCTCGACCCTCTCTGCCCGGTATGCCGTCAATTCCCAGAAACCATAGAACACGTATTGTTACTGTGCGAATGGACAAAAGCGGTGTGGTCAGATTATCGATTGCAAATTCAAACATCCAGACATGGTATCTCGAGAATAGACAAATAGGCCGTGGAGATTATGGTTTAGAGAAATTGCTTACCTTCAGCCGAGCTAATTGCCGCGGTGATGTGGAAAATCTGGCTAGCTCGCAACGGCGCTGTCTTCCAGCAGCAAACTCTAGATCCGAGCTCAATTGTCGACGGAGCATGTGCCATAGACAAGAACTTTAAGCGATGGAACAATAGATCAAGCAAGCAAGAAGGGCGAAAAGGAAACTCGCCTGATTCGTAGATTCCCCCAAAAACCGGAGCTTTGAAATTCAACATAGACGGATCACTAGTCGAAGGGGAGAAGGAAGGAGCCATTGTCGGAATATGTCGTGACTCAGATGGGAGAGTGGTCGCTGGCTATGTTGAGAGACTGGTCGCAACGATTGCACTTGAAGTGGAAGCCCTGGCGCTGCGATTTGTGCTGAAGTACTTGGAGGCTAAAGCAAGAAATGATCTACGGTGGAGACACGATCTCTGCTTGGAGATAGCAACAGACAGCTTATCACTTGTGAAAATGATAGTGGGCCAAAATCCAAGCCCATGGGAGCTGAGACCCATTATTGAAGACTGTAAAGAGATGCTTGCCCGGTCTAGTTGGGTGGAATTGGCATATGGCCCAAGGGAATCAAATCAAGTTGCATATTGGCTCGCCAAAACACATCGCAAGAAGGCTCTTCCTCACGACTGGCTTGTAATGCCGCCATCACCTCTATGGGATCTTTTATGTTCAGAAACCCATAACTTTTGTTATCCTTTGAATTATAATGAATGAAGTGAATAGTTTTCCGACCAAACAAAAAATAGACAACACCATCAGTCCTAGACTGATTATGTCTTTCGTGTTTATACTACTCATGCTAACACGTGTACCAGTTTTTCCTCTATTTTCACCTATTAAAGTAGCAGATACATGTTCACTAGATTCTCTTCTACGGATGTTCTCACTCATAATTAAATCTTGAACACCATCAAACATCAAACTTGTTGACCCAAAGGTATTACTAGCAACAGTAGTAGTAGCATTCAAGCTATCAAGCAATGAGAATAATAGACTCAAAGCACGTACCTCATCTTTAAAGTCAATGTTAACTGAACTCAATTGACTAACGATCACATTGAATTCATTAATATGATTAGCAACTAATGCACCTTCACTCATCTTCAAGTTAAATAGACGTCACATCAAATAGACTTTGTTGATCGCAGAGGGCTTCTCGTACATGTCCAACAGGGCTTTCATTAAACCAGTAGCGGTCTTCTCTTTCATGATATTAAACGCAACTTTATGAGCCAACGTCAGCCAAATAACATCCAAAGCTCGTCTATCCAAGAATTCTCAATCGGCTTGCTTCATCGTCTCTGGCTTCTCCCCAGATAGGGACAAATGCAATTTCATTTAATATAGATAATTCTCAATCTGTATCTTCTAGAAACCAAAATCCTTCCCATCAAATCTGTCGATTTTCACTTTTCCTTCTTTTGTTGCCATCGATTCGCTTCAACTCAACCAAGCCTAGTTTTGATATCAATTGTTGCGGAAGCAAGCGATCGAAGAATAAAATAGACAGAATAAGAAAATAAATCGGACACCAAATTTACATGGATCGGTCGTAGTGACTTACGTCCACGAGGAGAGCAGCAACAAATTCCACTATAGATCAAGTAATACAACGGAGATTACAACCACACTCAAGTTATTCAAACACTCTTAGTGTTTCCCAAGTCTCAATTACACCCAATAACTCACGCAACCTCATAATTTCTCACAAAATAATCTCTCAATCTCACGAAAGAATTATAGACAAATTATTAACACAAGAATTTAATCAACTACAAAATACTCAGATATCTTCAAGGTGCAATTCACTAGCAGAAACTCCTCTTTGATAATCTTCAAAAATAACCTCCCCTTCTTATTTAAAGGAAAGAATTGGATCCAAATTAGGAAATCTCTTTTTAGGAAACCTTCTCCAATTAGGAAACCTTTTCCGGCTAGGAAACAATTCAATTAGGAAAACCTATTCAAAATAGGAAACTTATTTGAACGAGGAAATTTTCCCTTTCAAGCTCAAAATCGAGACATAATTTTTACAGTAACCCTGCTCTTTGCTGACTCTGCTGGAATCTTTGAGACGGCGATGCTCCTTTTTAGTCGATATTGGTCGTACTATTAGCACATGTTTGCTTAATCTTGACACAGCAGTAAATGCATGCTTCTCATGGTTGTGATAACTATATGTGATCTTGTATTTTTTGTATTGCCTCTCCTTTGTATTTTATGTATTGCCTCTCCTCACCCGTACATGACAGAATATGATTACGCTTCTCGCCTACGATGTTCATCATATTATATATGTTGCACCTTTTGGGATAAATCATGTTCTTTATCAGTGATGCTCGTAATGAAAGCAGAAGCTGTAACATTTGTGCTCACATAGCCCGTCACTGATTTTGTTCGCATCACATTGTGTTTCGTGAATTTTGAGATCACGATAACGATTGTAGAAAATAGAGACTAACAAAACGTGGATTCCGATCTTAGGAAACTCTCAGTTTCTGAATAGGTGGAGGGACTTGACATTCGTTAGAGAAGAAATCTTCATTGGAGTGAAATCTTTGTTTAAGGACATGTGTCGTGACCTCCCCGCGAGATTTTAGGTGCCAACAACATGTTGAGATATTTATCACTCAAAACCTAGGATGCGTTTTGACCAGCTTTGCCGAATCTGGAGAATAGTTCTCTAGTAATGCGTTCTTGGATAGGAGCCTTTTAAGATAATCCAATCATATCTAGGACGAGAAGATTTCATTTCTCGATACCCAAACACTATAAGTGCCCTTTGCTGTATTAAGTATCAACAACGTTGAAATTTTGTTTTTTCGCCGCTGTAGCCTAACGTGACGAACTTTTCGCAATGAAACCTTGGTGACGATAATTTACGACGTTGTAACTTTTGGTGACAAAACTTTCGGACCTGCCAGTTTTTTGTGGTGCCTTTTTCTTCCTAATTTTTCCATTTTTATGCACACATAAGCTTGTGTTTTTTTTTTCTAGTTATAAGAATAGATTTTGCATTATTGTTTAATTTTTATTTTCGTTAAGTACATTTAGCTCTCATATAAAGTCTACTATATGAGCTCTATGGATGTGGAAGGCTCTATATAAATGAAAAAGAAATTAGCTTTAGAAGTTTCAATCATCTTACATTAAATAATTTAAAATGGTGAAAGTTCGTACGCCACAAGATTTTAGAAAAAGCAAAATGTCAAATGTGAAAGGGCGCATTTGTTTAGACTTTATCAAAAGCACTAAACAATTTTCTACATTCCCACCAAAAATCAAATATGTAGTCAAATCTTCAAGTATTATAAATAAAAAAAAAGATCACGTGAATTAATGTAAAAATATTAGCATTCGTGAAAGTCTCGGACTTTTCTGGTTAAAAAGATTCAAAATGCGAAAAGTAAAGGGTAAAAGTCAATCTAAATATGCTCAAAGTCACTCCACAAAGGCTCTTTTGCGGGTCAAAAAATTTCAAAAAATGATTTGCAATTTACCTTTGCCACATAGACACACCTCCTAACCATCACGGCGGTGTCATAACTTTTGTTAATAGGCAAAAGGAGGCTTAACGTGAAGTATCAAATTAATATACAAGTTGAATTGCTAGAATTATGAAAAACTTGAGACTCCGTTTATTTCGAGAAAAATTAATGAATTAAGAAAATATTTTCCTAATATTATTTGATCAAAAAAATATTACTTGAAATAATTAGTTAAAGAAAAACATTTTCATTATCAACAACAATTTATATTTAAATATGGGTTAAAACCACAAAATACTCCAAACTATACCCACCATGACACAAATACCCCGTACTTTTTTTGTGTCACTAAAAATCCTAAGCTTGCCCATTATGCACAAATACGCCGAACTTTTTTTTGTGTCGTAAAAAACCCCGAACTTATACTAGTGTGACAAATTTACTAAAATAAAAGGTATATATGTCACACATGTATAAGTTTGGATTTTTTAGTGACACAAAAAAAATTGGGAGCATTTGTGTCAAAGTGGAAAAGTTTAAGATTTTTTGTGACAGGAAAGAAGTTTAGGGAACTTGTATCATGGGAACATAATTTGAGGGTTTTTTGTGATATTTGCACTTTAAATATTTTCGTGGATAATGAAAATATTTTTTTTTTCATTCATTTTTATAAGCGATACGAGCAATCATTATCAATGAAATATATTTCAAATCATTTTTTTCGCGAAATAATCATATCGTAATTTTAATGGTTTTTAATTGTGCAAAGTGGAGTGACCAATCAATAAAAAAAATTGTAACTTTATATAAATAAATAAAACCGAAAGCTTCATTAACTAGACAACACCTTTCCCGAAAAGAAAGAAAAGAAGAGAAAAAGAGGAGTAGACAACGTGGACAGAGAGCAATCGAAAGTGCCAACGAGCGTGGTCCACCGTATCATGCTTACGTCATTCAACTCCTTTCGTAAAAAAGGCAGCGGCAGCTCCGACTCCAAGCGCACGTTTCCCCCTGCATCAACGAATACGACGCCGTTTCGTCTCTTCGGGATCTCCTCCTTTGCGTGCTTGCATGACTCTCTCTCTCTCTCTCTCTCTCTCTCGTTCGCCGGTCTATAAACCAGGCCATTACACGAATCCGGAATCACACGACACGCGTAGGTGAGCCGTTTGAATCAGTACGAGCCTTTGACCTTTCCTTCCTCTGTCCTCTCCGTCCCCGAACCAAACCATCCCCCACGCCGGCCTCCACACCATCTTGATCTTCTGCATCAAACCGATCTCTCCCTCTCCGATTCGGACGAAGATTCCCAAGTTGATCCCGCCGCCTTCGATCCAATCCGCCCCCGATTTCGCCCAACGAGCTGCTGATTCAATCCGATTGGGCCCTCCTCGATTGGTTCCGCATCCACATCCGATACTGTTTTTGGGGTTGAAATGGTCGATTCTGATCGATCGGTCTCGGTCTGCAATCCCGTTGACCACTTGAGAGCCATGGCGGGCTCTTTCAATCCCACCGGCGCATGCTCCAAGCCGAATCGGAGCCATCAATCCCACAGGAATCGGAAGGTGCCCAGTTCCGCCAATCGTGCGAGAGCTGCCGCCTGCGATGGATCTCGGACCGCCGCGATGGACGTCGCTATCCTGGTCGCCGTCGTCGTGGCCTGCGGGTTTCTGCTGTTCCCTTACGTCGAGTTCGTGCGCGTCTGGGTGATCAGAGCCGGCGGCGCGATCGCCGGTGCGGTCGCGGAGGAGGTTTCCGAGGCTCCGTTGATTTACGGGTCCATCGGGCTGAGCGTGTCTTGTGCTGCGTTCGCTTGCTGGTTGCTTCTGATGTACTCGAGCAGGAAATGCGGGAACCCGAAGTGTAAGGGCCTAAGGAAAGCGGTTGAATTCGATATTCAGCTGGAGACCGAGGAGTGCGTGAAGAGCGATCCGTCTTCCCTCATGAAAGGCGGCTTAAGGAGGGGCATATTCAAATTGCCACGAGATCACCATCGCGAGCTGGAGGCGGAGCTGAAGAAGATGGCGCCGCCTAACGGAAGGACTGTTCTCATGTTCCGAGCGCGATGTGGGTGCGTCATCGGGAGCTTGGCAGTTCCTGGGCCGAAGAAGCAGCGAAAGATCAGGAAGTAGGACTACTTTTGTTGGGTATTTGATTAAAGAAGAGATATAGATTAATGCAGAGAGACTGGGTTATTAGGCAGAGATGACTTGCTCCTTTGTGGAGTCCCCTGATACAGGGGGCCATACCGATACCATTCCTAAATAAAGCTCATCGCGCAATGGGTATTAGGATAATGTACAAATTGTTCTGATCAGACGATATTACTGCTCGTTATATTGGTTTCCCTTACTACTTTTCAGTATTGATTTAACCCGAGCAAAAGATCAAACTTTGTACCTACTCTTTGCATCCTCCACCAATCCTGCAAATTGTCGCTTGTGTGTGGATCACGAATTATGGTGAAGTTGGAAATTCATACTGCGTTGTGAGGGTTTAACCCGACGTATCCTCGAGTTTGGTTGCATATAGAGCTGGTATGTGATGTAGAAAGTAGCTCTTTTGCATCTACGGAAGGTTCTATGAACTGATAGGATTCGCTCTTGATGAGCTAATGTACCTCGAGATCAACTAAATCGTAAGCTGGTAAACTGTGTATACTCTATCAATGTTCATTTACAGTCTGGTTACGAAGATTCACTTGGACTCAGGAGTTTGCCGTCTTGTGAAGATTGCTAACCTGAAGAGAGAACACTTCTTTAACAGTTTTATCTATTTGTTTAAGCCAGATTTTTATGGCGATGCTGAGTATGAGTTTGGAGAATCTTCATTCTTTTAGCCAGAGTTTACATACTCCTGGAGTTTTCGACTGATTCAGTTCTATTTCTTGAGGTATTTTTAGTGGTGGCTTCATCAGCTGTCAGAATGTTTAGCTCTTGCGAGAATCGTTTTGCTCGAGTAAAAACAACACACTTCTATCTCCAGATCCTATCAGACGTAATAATTGTATCCTCTTGCCACCTGAAAGTCCTAACCTGTAGTGTACTCAGCTTGGAGTTGGATCTCTGCTTTCTACCGGGGCAACTTGGACACATGTACAAGTCGGGACCCTTACACTACTAAAAACTAAGCAGAGCTGCAGTGGACGACTTTGGTCGAGATTTGCTTTGATATATTGATATGGTCACAAATCTTGTCCTTGGCCCCCCACAAATATTTCAAATTCTGTGTCTGTACCATCCAATGTTTTTAACTTCGTAAATCTCTTGAAGGTTGTAGTCTTTCCTTTCTGAAGATTCTATCTGCAGCTTTTCTAGCTCCGTTTTGTTCTTCGTTGTTAAGCATTGTGCAGTAGCCCGTCCGGAGTACCTGATCCCACATTTTGAGTACCGGGTGAGGACACTTGAGGAGCCCATGCCAGGCTCCTGGGAAGAGCTTGAATCTTTGCCGGCCCTTCTTAGCCAGTTTCATGGACAATGTTAATAGAACAAGCTTGCCAGGGTCTCTGTGTACTCTGCAAAAATAGATTGCGGGGACGATCGCCCTAATAAATCATGGACACATGCTTTCAGGTGAAGTGTTTCCTCCATCAGTATTGGGAGAGTTCGTGGAATAGTTAAGATTCTATACTATCATCTGATGAAGTCTTGAGGCAAGATGAACCTAATCCACTGTACCAAAAACACAATCCCAAAATAGAACCTGGAGCTGTAAAATGTAGATTTTTAAAGGGCTGTTTTCTGATGTCATTAGTTTGGAAGGGTTAACGTTGCACTAACTACGAGACCGGAATTTGGAGATGAGCATTGCTATAACTTGGCGTTGTAAAATGTAGATGTTCTTCCATGAAAACTTAGCACCGCGTAGCCATGTCCACCTACACGTTGTCGCATCAAAGACTTCTATGGTTCACCGAGGTATTAAAAGCAAAAATTTCCTTAGACTGCCATGTTCGGTAAATTTGAAAATGGAAGTAAAAAACTATCTATGGATTTAAATACGGGCTTTCAATGTGGCATTTTGAAAATTGGTATCAAAATTGTTCGAAAAATGAAAATGTATGCCTTTTTAAGATGTTCGGCTCTCAATGTTCTCATACCACAACCACCAGTCAATATGGGTTATAGATCAATTTCTTGACTCATATTTGAAGGAAAATTCCCAATAAAGGCTAAAGTGCCCTCATTTTCTCAAATATGGGCATGAATTGACGTTATTTTAAATATAGGCTTGAAGTTTCGAATAAGAGTTTGAAGTGGATTTTATTTCAAATAAGGACAAGGCTATATAGTTTCGAAGAAGGGCCTGACTTTCTGAATGGTCATGGGCATTTTCGTCTTTTAGCTTTTCTGAATTTTTTGCCTTTTTTGCCTTTTTTCTTTATGTGTTTCTTTTTTTGGTTTTTTCTTTCTTCTTCGCCAGTCGCTGGAGAGGGTTGGGCGAGGAACGCCCTCGCTTGACCTGGCGAGGACAACCCTTGTCGACCGTTGGCAAGGCTAAAAAAAAGAAATGAGAAAAAATAAAAGATAAAAGAAATTAAAATTGTCTTTGGATGAAAATGCCCTTGACCGGCCGGAATATTTAGCCGGTTGGCGACCGATGAGATCAAGCCTTATTTGAAACTATCATGGCCATTTCAGGCCCTTATTTGAAACAATGTCTACTTTATGCCCTTATTTAAGAAAATGAGGGTACTTCATGTCTTGAAGGGCTAGATTGTTATATAAATTATTTATATTTAGTAAATGGATCATTAATGAGTTTAATATGGTAAAACCCAAAATAATATGAGTGTTGACAAGTTCAAGGGCTTGAAAGAGCGTCAACAAACAAAATCAAAATAATCCACAAAATCCATACGACTGGACGACTAGAAGGATAATTTCTGTTTTCCGTATGTTGGGTGGGGGTGATGATTCAATGAAGAGAATCGAGTTTTATTGCACGCAAATTGACATTAACAATCAAGCGACAAAGAGCAAAACTGGAACAATCATTTCCAAAAATAACCACAGAGAGAGAGGAACCTGTGGAGAAAGGCGAAGATTGAAGGCGAGCAAGCGAGAGAGCGAGCGATCGGTGCGAAACTGAGTGAAGCAAAGGAGCAGTTAAGTGAAATAAAAGAGGCAGAATTGAGCGAGAGAGCGAGAAGTAGGATATTATCATTTAAAATGGGCAAAATTGGATTTTTAATAAGCTTTTAAGGGAAAAAAAAGGCAACTGGCCTAATTTCATTTAATTGAAGGAAGTAGCCTTCCGAAAATGCTGAAAGCTGCCTTGAGCTTTCACCTACGCTAAGGCCAGCATTTGGCCAAAGAGGTTCCAAAAATCATTTGTCAAACACTCAAAATTTTCCCTAAGGCGCTTTGGAGGCTTTTGGGAAAACTGAACCAAATGCATCCTAAATGGGTTCACGACTTACTTAGATTCAACCCACCTTTATTATTCTTTCTTAACTCTCTCTTACCCTCACTAATCTCACGATCACTCACTTCGCACTCCCATCCCAATTTGGTTATGAGTTTTCCTAAATTTGATAAAATATAGAATGTTTGAGCAATATAGGTCGAGATTGGGTATGAATTGGGTATGGGTTTGGGTACTAGATTTGCATTGCATGGAAATGGGTCAAAACAGGTTAAATATGTCGATTTGGGTCAGACCATTTTTGACCCAACCCACCCATTTAACGAGTCTACCTACATCCATCGACCAGTTCACTGGGTTTACTCAAGTATATTTCCTGAACCAATGCAACTAGTTCTCCCCACCAAAGAGAGGTCATCATGCTAAGGGTGATCAGTTTCAGGGTGGTTAGGTTCCAAACTTGGAACCTAAAATTGACCCTTTTATAACTAGGGGTGTCAAAAGAACCCGCCCAAACACGATCCGACCCAACCCAACCCGATCCAAACAGGAAATTTTCGTATTGGGTCGAGTTGGGTCTTAATTTGTTTGGGTAACAAGAAAAATAATTGGGTCTTGTTTTGAATTTATTGGGTTCGGGTACCCAAGCCCAACCCAAACAAGAAAAACCCAAACAAGGAAACCCTATATTTCTCTTCCACGTCTCTCTCACTCTCTCGCCTCTTCTGCTATCTCTTCTGCTATATCACTTCGCCTTCCTTTGCTCTCTCCCTCCAAGCCTCTCCGCCACATAACACCGCACCTTCTTCCGTCGGAGCTCCGGAGACAGCGCTTCAATGGCCCTCAAGTCCTTCATCGATGTCGGCCCCGGCTCCCACTTCTCGATCCAGAACCTGTCGTTCGGGGTCTTTCGGCCAGACAGCGACTCACCGGCGCGGCTGGGGGTCGCCATCAGGGACGGCATCCTGGACCTCCCCGCCGTCGCCTCCGCCGAGCTCTTTGGCGGCCCGGCCCTCGCCGGGTCCGATTGCTTCCACCAGGTCGGGCGTTCTCGTAGGCTCGTTCCATGATTTGTTTGCTGACCGCGACATCTTTGCGGACTGAAATGTCGGTTTTGCTGCTAGTTTCTTTGTGCCTTCAAATGATTTTGCTATTTGCTTCTAATTGTTTAATAGGACTGTGATCACTAGTTAGCGTGCTCTCTTCGTTTAGAATTGATTTACGTAGCTTTGTTTCGATTGTTTGTTTCTGTTTAGAATTGATCACTAGATAGCTTTTCTGTTTAGAATTGACCCCGCACCTCGCGCCTCCTCGGGAGGCTCAGGCTTCACCGGGGAGGCCGCGCCGAAAGGGGCATCTTCGGCGTGCTACAACGGAGGAGACAGGGGCGGCGCGAAAGGATAGAAACTCAGGAAGCAGAAGGGAGTGTCGGCATATGCGCGGGTCGAGAGCGTGGAAATCAGAAATTCATTTTTGGGAGTGGAATGAATTTGGCAGGTTTTTGAGGTGATGAGAAAGCAAGAACAAAATCGTTTGGTTGAGTTTGAAACATGGAACCCGGCCCGACCCAACCCGGACCGACCCGTCCCGATCACTTGGCTATATCATGTTCGGGTCTTGTTTCGGGTCGGGCCGAGCACACATGTCCATTATTTCGGGTCGGGTCGGGTATCATGAAAATCCGACCCGACCCGACCCATTGACACCCCTAGTTATAACCGGTTCCTAGTTTTTGGAAACTGGAACCTATCCTGTTTGCCATGGACATTGTTTTAGAACTTATCCTGTTTTTCCGATTCGGTTCCAGGGTTTTCCCGAGAACCTTTTTTTTTTTCCTTTTTCTGGTTTCATTTTTTCCAAGTAGCAAATAGCAAAACTTATAACTCAAATCAAAGGTTATAAGTTTGATTGTGCAAATAATCTTAAGTATTCATACAAAAGCAAATTATCTTAGCCCCAATAATTTAATGGACGTAATAAA